TGAAGTTGTGCTGTTGCTGAGTTAGATAGAAGGGATGTTACAAGCCAACAGCAAGGCTGCCAGGTGAAAAGGGCTGAGAGCACTGCTGTGTTCCAGTCTAGAACCTCAAAACTGCTGATGCACTGCTACAATAAATGGTCACTAAGTTACATAGAGAAACAGCACAAAGATGAAAAGCTGCGGTTCAGGTGTCCTGCTCGTCCTGCGCATCCCGGTCCTACCAATCTCCTCTGCTACACCTGTGGTCCTGTTGATCTCCTCTGTTGCAATCTGCAATCCAGATGGAGAGGCAGAGACACATATCAGCTCTGCCTCCAACTGGCAGCTCTTTCCAAGCCATATTTGAGTCCCTCAAGCTAAGGAGGGGTTAGAAACTATTACAGAAAACAAGAGCAATGGAGGAAAGCTATTTTTGAGTGACAGGGTCTGTGACTTACTTGCTCAGCAGGCAATTAAGTATGCTGAAAACCCATCTGTCAGATTAGATTCCGTGGAAATTTAGGTGTGCACACATCTAACCTGAGCCTAGACTGGGCCTAGGAATTAGGCAATGTTGAATAACTGAATACTTGTTGAGACAGCTGAACTTTGGAGCACATCCTAGAACAGCACCACAGGTCACTACACTAAAATTTGCTTCAAAGCTGTCTTTCTGATGGTTCTGAACTCACTTTAACATTCTCAGCAGAGTTGGTTTTGCAAGTTATGAGCTCACCATATCTCAAGTCTGTGAGGAAACACACAGCAGCACTTAGAAGGCCAACTGTGTTCTGGGCTGCACTAAAAAAGGGGTGGCCAGCAGGGAGAGGGAGGTGATCGTCCCCCTCTGCTCAGCTCTTGTGAGGCCCCATCTGCAGTACTGCAACCAGACCTGGAGCCCCCAGTGCAGGAAGGACGTGGAGCTCTTGGAGTGGGTCCAGAGGAGGGCACTGAGATGATCTGAGGAGTACCTCTCCTATGAGGAAAGGTTGAGGGAAGTGGGCTTGTTTAGCTTGGAGAAGAGAAGGCGCCAGGGAGACCTCATTGTGGCCTTCCAATACTTGAAGGGAGCATATAAACAGGAAGGGGAACTGTTTACAAAGGTGGGTAGTGATAAGACAAGGGGGAATGGTTTTAAACTGAGATGAGAGGTTTAGGTTAGATATTAGGAGGAAGTTTTTCACACAGAGGGTAGTGACGCACTGGAACAGATTGCCCAAGGAGGCTCTGGAGACATTCAGGGCCAGGCTGGATGTGGCTCCAGGCAGCCTGGTCTGCTGGTTGATGACCCTGCACACAGCAGGGGGGTTGAAACTGGATGATCACTGAGGTCCTTTTCAACCCAGGCCATTCTATGATTATCTGCTGGAGCTGACTAAGTCCCAAAGGCTTTCCACCCAAGTATGTCAAATTGCTAAAATTCAAGACTGGTTGGACAGAAGTTGGTCACAGGCTGCAGATAACTTCAGTCCTGCAGCAGTTAACCTTGACTCCATACCCCAGAACTGTCCCACATCCTGTGAGTCTCCAGTCTCCTTCAGGATCACATAGGAGCAAGGGCAGAGTCTGTCATTTTATGTCAGCAAGACACCACTTCTTAGTGAAAAATGTTCTTTGGTAGGCATATCCAAGCGTCAATAGCACGAGAAAAACCACAGTACAGTAGAGAATTTATTTTCTCATCAGCTTTCAGGAGGAGACTAGCAGTGAACAAATACCTATACTTTCTAAATCCCATGCACAGAAGACATTAGACTGAACTTCACTAAATGTTTAGTAGGAAACAATTCCCTAATATAATTAAGTTTTGTGTTGTCTTTTTTTTTTTTTTCTTTTGCTGAGGAACCTTAAAGATACCACAGGTCAGAGCTGCAGGAGATGGGAAAGAACTGTGTGGGATTACCTGCAGGCATACATTATCGGGAGGGTGCTGTCAGCCTCTTGCTTTCCTGTGCAATAAGCATTGTGGGGGAAATCACCGTGTCTTTCTTCCCCTTTACCTCTGCTGCACAAGAGCAAAAAAAAAGTATTTCTGAGAACACTGTCGCAGGGATCAAAAGCCTTTTTCTACAGGCTCTGACCTAGTTCTTTCATTCTTACTAGAGGGAAGAAAACACTTAAAGGAACATTGTCAAAACTGTTCAGTTTAAAAATAGGCTTACCTTGGCAGTGCTCCCATCTAGATGGGCTCATACTAAGGAGCACAGGCTCCCTCCCCATGCAGACACAGATACATTCATCCACCCAAAGCACTGGTACTCTGCAGCCCGAAGGACCACCCAGTCCACACACTCTCTTCTGAGACAAATACAGTGACCCACATTCAAACTCCATTTTGGCTGAATCCTTTTCAACCCCTGCTCAGGTATGTATATCACGTAACTGCCAAAGAACTCCAGAACCCTCCAGATTCCTATTTCATATTTGCAAATCTATCTCTGTCGACTATCCTGGTAAGAGATTTGTTTTCTTTAAGTAAACCTCTAGATATTTGTTGCCATAAGCAAACTCCAGTAGTTCATTCTAAGACAGCACTGAAAACAGTCAAATTTGAGAAAAACTTCAACAGGTTGTTAACACAAAATCAGATTCTTTCAAAGATTCTCCACAAACTAAACATCCCAAAGCGTTTTCATTTCAGCCACACAGAGCGTTCCTGAATTGAAAGGGGAAAAAAAAAACAAAAACCTGTCCCTGGGTTCGTGGCTGCAGCTGAGGAATGGGCGTTTTCCCAGAACAATAGCAGGGGCAGAACTGGCCAGACAGCGGATGCTGGCTCCAGCAGGAACTGCCATGCTCCAGGACCTGAGGTTCTCTTGTGCCCCAGGGACCCAACCTTCTCTGCCAGTTGTGTGCCAGACATGAGTCCATACAAGAAGTGGGTTGGCCCAAGAGTGCAGAAGCTTTGTGGCACTAAAAATAAATAAAGACCCAGGAAGCCCAACCATGAAGGCTATACAGCCTTACTTAAGCCAGCTTTTCAGGGTTTTCCTAATTTCCAAGCTTCTACAGCTGATGCACGGAAGGTTATGCCCTCAAGTTCCTAAGCAGCAAAGCAGGAAAACATTTTTCCCCCCAACCAAAACAAACAAATCAACTGGAAAAAGAAACAAAACAGTTTGTGTTTCCTGACTCTAAGACACTTTGAGTTCAGTAAACTGGCATTTTTCTACAAAACTCTTCAAGTTTAAAGAATTCTACAGCAGCTTGCCTTTTGATAGAGCACGATCCACATGCTCCAGTGACAGGAGCCACTAGAGACAAGTAACCTCAGCCTCCCTAAGTTCCACATGTTACCTGCCAAGAGGCACAGTTCACGGAAAGAGCACAGCCCACACCCATGAGCTTGATTGATACTGTGGAGCACACATTAAGATAAAAGCATGCTTTTAAGCACCTTCAACAAAGCGTGGTCCCAATAGAAACCTAGGGATAAGAACTTAAATTTACATGAACTACATCCACAGAAAGTAGTCACAGCCACGTGGCTATCTATGCTGCAGAAGTAAGCGGTCATCTTGTTGTAGTGTGAGGGGAACAGAGTTGTACAGCAGTCCGAAGGCAAAACAATTGAGGGATGAAAATCAAAACGAGGGAAAAGCAGCACATACAGAAAGAAGGCATATTCTGAGAGCTCACAACAGGGATGCATCTCAGAGAGAGGAAATGGGAAGAAAGGGTTAAAGAGGAAACAAATCCCAAATCATCTCAAGAGGAAGGAGAAGCACTGCTTCCCAAAGGTTTAGCAGAGCTTTTCTTCATTAATATTTACAAAGCTTTTAGAGCCTGAGATGGAAGGCACTGCAGATACGAGAGGAATTATTTCAGACCTGAAAAAATCTAGCAAACAGACTGATGAGGAGTTCAAGTGAATAAAGAAGGATGACATTAGAGAGTGCACTGAAATAGGGGTTCAACTGGCATGTGAACCATCTGGTGCATGGCAGCCCATTTCATTTACTTACCCACCATCAGGCACGCATGCTCAGTTACATAGTTAAGTTTCTGCCATAGGATGAGAAACACTTTTACTCCAAATATGCTAATCAATAAAGCACGCTGCGCGTAAAGAACCTGCATGTCTTAAAGAAAGGACAACTTCAGATGTACACAGACATCTATTGAGATACAGTGGTTTTGTTCACCTTGCTTAGAACTTGGTTTACAAGGATGTTACTGCCTTCAGCAGGCCCAAGTTTCAGCTTGACTCTCATTTGTGCTGCTCACTTCAGTACTTAAAAGACAGCTTCAGCATCGCTGTCACAATGTGGTATGCAGCCTCAGATAGAAGCACTGAAATCAGCCCACCTGAGAGCTGCTCAGAATTGAGCACACCTCACCCCCAAAAAAGAATGACAGACCCCAGAGTACGCACAGGAAGAGTACAGGTGGCCGCTTCTCACACTCTAAACCTCTAGAACTGTCCTGCAGTCACGGAAGAAAGCAAGATGGGACCCGAAGCCAAGAATTCTCAATGCCTTGGGGAAAAACTGCGGGAAGTTGAGAAGCAGACAGCAGGAGGGGATTTGCCATGTTCCATCCACATCCCTCCTTTAACATCCCAAAAGGAGCAGGGCCACGCACCTAATGCCGCAGGAGCCGGCACCCAAGAGGTGACGCCGGCGGGCAGCACCCCGGGCAGGGCACCGCGCCAGGAGCCGGGCTCGGCACCGGGCTTCGGGGGGACCGGGGGGCGAAGGAAGCGGGGCACGCAGCCTCGGGGCTCCAGGCTCACGGCCTCAGGGCACGGCGGGAGGCGACGAGGGCCGGAGCTACCGCGGAGAGAGGCGGAGGAGCTCCGCCGGGAGCGGCGGGCCCGGAGGGGAAGTTGCCGGGCTGCGGGCGCCGGGCCGGGCGGAGAGGCGGAGAGGCGAGGCGAGGCAAGGCGGGCGGCAGAGCGGGGCCGGAGCTCCAGGGCCGCCACCTCGCCCCGCCGGCCCCGCCGCAGGTGAGCGCCCGGGGGAGGAGACGGGGGAGGAACCCCGAGGGGGGACGGCGAGCCGGGGACGCGGAGCCCTTACCTTCCACCGCCATCCTCCCGGCCTCGCATAGTGTGCCGGCCGCCGACACGGCGCTGCCCCGGCCGCCCCCCCGCCCGCGCGCGGGCTCGGCTCATCTGCGGCCGCCGCGATCAACCTGCGGCTCCCGCTGACAGCCGGGCGGGGCCGCTCTGCCCCGCAGCACGCCGGGAAACGTAGTCCGGGCCCTGCCCGCACACACGGCACCGCCGGCGCGCGGCCCAGGTGCCGCTCGGCCCGAGGCCTTTCAGGAGCGTCCGGTGTCTCCGTCCCGAGCGAGGGCCAGGCACCAGGAGTGCGGTGCTGGTTTGGCCTGGCAGGTGCCCAACCTGAAGGTGCGAGGTGCTGCCCTGCATCACGCTGCTCTCCCTGCGGCCCCTTATCCTGTCCCACACCCAGGTCGCCCAAAATCCTGGGGGAGGATAGCAACGCGGTGACTGAGTCTTGCGCCGATCAATGATCTTGCTACCATCTTTGTGATGTTTGCTGTCTGAAAAACAGCGCTGCATTTCTACCCTGTTTTAGTTTTGAGATATCAAAAATCTTGAAGATATTTCTCCCTCAAAAATCCTTCCCTTCCCTTCCCTTCCCTTCCCTTCCCTTCCCTTCCCTTCCCTTCCCTTCCCTTCCCTTCCCTTCCCTTCCCTTCCCTTCCCTTCCCTTCCCTTCCCTTCCCTTCCCTTCCCTTCCCTTCCCTTCCCTTCCCTTCCCTTCCCTTCCCTTTCTACATGGAAAGAGCCTGTGAGCTCCTTCATCCACAGAAGTCATTAATAAAACCAGGAGGACAATAGCCAAGGAACTGAGTGTACAAGGGCATATGTTATACAGATAGGCTATGACAACATTTTCACATGTTCTTTTGATTTGTTAGCAATGAATGAGCATTATTCAAGGCAGGTTAGTTTTGCAAAACAAACTTCCAAGACATTGCATTGAAGAACTGGCTTGTTCTTTGCTCTCATATGCAGTTGAACTATTAACCTTTGTGTTGTATATGAGTCAAGATACACACTTCCTGGAGAAGCAGCCTTGTCTTTCACCTATCTGCAAAGTGGTATGCATAGTCACAATGCATTATCAGTGATAATTAAAGGATATGCAGATTCCCAAGTGCAACACAATCACGCACCTAATCCCAGCTGATGCACAAAATGGGTTGTTACTCTTCTACTTTCTGCCAGACAACAGGCTGTTCTTGATTGTTCTTGATATATTACACATGACCTTCAGCAATTTTTATTCACTGTACAATGTTTTGTGATTTTGGTGACATTTTTTGTTAAGCTAATATATTCTATTAATAATTATTTTTTCATTTAATCATGACAATATTTGAGTGTAGTTAGTGTAATTTTCTGGCTAACCAGCGTGGCTTCACTGAGGACAAATCATATTTGACCAACCCAGTGGTCTTTCATGATAGTGTCACTGCATCAATGGGCAATGGAAGAGTCACTGACATCATCTACCTATCTCAACTTCAGAAAGGCCTTTGGCATAGTACCCCACAACATCCTTCTCTTCAAATTGGAAATATATGGATTTCATGGGTGGATTGTTCAGTGAACGAAGAACTGGCTGCAGGATTGAGACCAGAGAGTGGTGGTCAGTGGCTCCATGTCTGGATGGAGATCAGTCACGGGTGATGTCCCCCAGGTCCCAGTGCTGGGACCAATACTTTTTACTGTCTGCATCAATGACATTGACAGTGGGATTGAGTTCACCCTCAGCAAGTTTGCTGATGACATCAAGCTGAGAGGTGAGGTTGACATGTCTGAGGGATGGGATGCCATCCAGAGAGAAGTAGCCAGGCTTGAACAGTGGCCCCAGGACCCCAGGTGCACATCATAAAGTTCAACAAATCCAAGTGCAAAGTCTTTCACCTAAGTCAAGGCAACCCCCATTACCAATACAAGCTGAGGGATGAAAGCATTGAACACAGCTCTGTTGAAAAAGATCTGGGGGCACCTGTTAATAGGAAGCTGGACACCAGCCAGCAATGTGCTCTGGCAGTCCAGAAAGCCAACCATATCCTGGGCTGCATCAAAAGAAGCATGACCAGCAGGGCAAAGAAGGTGATCCTGCCCCTCTGCTCTGCTCTGGTGAGGCCTCACCCGAAGAACTGCATCCAAATACAGAGTCCTCAGTACAGGACAGATACAGACCTGTTGGAGCATGTTCAGAGGAAGGCCACAAAAATGATCCAAGAGACGGAATACCTCTCCCACGAGGACAGACTGAGAAAGCTGGGGCTGTTCAGCATGGAGAAGAGAAAGTTCTGAGGTGACCTGAGAGTGGCCTTTCAGTATCCAAAGGGGGAGCTACAGGAAAGAATGGGAATGAGTCTTCAGCAGGATCTGTGATTATAGAAGAAGAGGAAATGGCATCTAGCTCAAAGAGGATAGATTTAGGTTGGATAGAAGGAAAAAGACTTTTACAGTGAGCGTGGTCTTTTACAATGAGGTGGAAAAAGTCTTTTTCCGGTGAGGCACTGGAACAGACTGCCTAGTGATGTGGTGGATGCCCTGTCCCTGGAGACAGGGACAAGTGAAGGCTGGATCAGGCCTTTAGCAACCTGATCTAGCTGTTCGTTTCCCTAACTGCAGACAGTTAGTCTAGTTGGCCTTCAATGGTCCCTTCCAATTCTAAGGATTCTATGATTCTAACATATATGGGAAGCGTTGTTTTCTTGGTTAGAATGAGTTAGAAGCCATACTATGAATAAATCAAGGCTCAGAGTTCAGGTGGTGTGGATGGGGAGAGCTGCATCCTTTAGTATGCTGAATTTCTGACTGCATTTCAGCTATGGGCCCTGAGGACATCCCCAGTGAGTACAGCTTTACTAAGCCCTTTAAAAGCCCTGTAATTTTTAATTACAGCTTTGTGCCTGATGAAGAACAGCAAAATTATGGCTATGACTAGACAGCAAATAGGGCATGACAGATGTTGAAAGGTATAGTTTTTGAAACTTAATGTTACATGATAGCTAGTGAAACCTAGTATTTAACAATATTTAAAAGCATCAAAAACATCTACAATTCTGGTCAAGACTAGGCAAATTGTAATTTAATGTATGTCACTCATTAGTGAAAAGAGGCTGTAAATTGATTCAATTAATATATGGTGAAGTACAATCTGTTTTGAGCGTAGCCTTCAAAAACATCAGTGAGAGCTAGATAACTTTCTAAAAACATCCTACTAAATTATAGAGTAGAAAACGACCAGCTTTCTCAGCTTAGAAAGAGCTTTCTAATCACACTTCCTTGCTTCCCTTTTTACCTTGACTTCTCCAGACATATTTCTTCTAAACTTTCTCTTAAAAATATATCAACCTTCCTTAAAACAGGCACAGCAAAAGTCCATTTCCTGTATATTTTTCTCTAGGTCTCCAGATGAAATAAGCAAAAGCCCCATAGCCATTCATATTATTTCTAGGTAGGACTAAAGCCAGCTAATGTTAAATGAAAGTGCATTCATCAACAGTGCAGCTCTACTTGAAGAAGAGAGCTAATGAAATCATTGAACTTGTGTACATCGGTACACTGCCATCCATCATCAATTTTCCTTTATTTTCCCCCTTCATCTTACAGAAAGTCAAGTCCTTAAGACTTAAGCATCCCTTTGTGCTGTGAAGTAATTTATGCAAAACAGTCAAATTCTCAGTCGTCTTCATCTAATGACCTTGGTAGTGAAGCAGTTCTGCCATATAGGTGTGACTCAAATGTGATTTACTCTTCTGGGTGCCTGAACACATGCATAGAGCTGTCTTATAGCAACAGTTCAACAAAGATCTGAAAATCAAGAACCTCCAGTCAGACACCAAGTGCCTTCATCTTTGGGCAGCATCACAGCATCCGCTCTGAGTTATCCTATATTCTTACCGGTGCTGGGACCACCCTGATCTAGCAATGCTGTGAAAAGCAATGATTTACTTTCCCACCCTCTGTTGCTAACTTTTGATGCAACAGCCTTTCTTTCTGCTTGAAAACTAACCTGGAACAAGACTGGTAAGTGTTACCTCTATCAGTTACCTTTTGTTATTCACTGTATGGTTGTCCAAATCCGGGTGCTAGCAAGTGGAGTGTAGTTTCTTCTGGTGGTTTGAAGAGCCCAGGGGCTTTTAGAGGTATATCATATTATAAATCAATTTCATCTTACCTGGGTCAGGTAAACATCCTCTCACTATTCTCTTAGGACTCTTTTTCCTCTCTGGGCATTCACAGCTTCCTAATCTTCTTGGTTGAAAGGAGCTACATCAACATCTACAGCTTTTAAAAAAGACTGAAGCAGATGAGAGTTTGACTGCATGTACAGGGGGTCAGCAGTTGTGCTAGTGAGGAGGAGTTGAGGAGAGTAATGTATTCATATGGGGGATCTACAGCTGGATGTTCATAAACTTATCTTCCTTTTTAGTGAGGCACCCGTTATTACTAATGATCTCGTTGGACTGAGAGTATGATCTCCACAAAGATCTATATAAATCACTTGTGCCTGTGTTTTCAAGAGAAGATACAAAATGGCTTAAGACAAGCAATGATGGTAAAACAAACATTATGGGTAAGAATGACAAGGTACAAAGAGGATTTATATGCATATATTGAAATCTCCTTCTATCTTCTGAGCTCTATCACTTGCTGTACTTCAGGGCTCCAGAGAAAATCACACATGGACCATGATTCCTTTTCTTCGCTCTGCATAAATAGCAGCTGTTGCAAAGGAAGTTCAGAATGTGTCAGGACGGGGAGAAGGTTCCTATACTAGATGCTTAAGGACTAGAAGACTATATTGAATCCGTAGCTTTCCCCATCAGAGGAAAGGCAAAGTAATGCTCCTCAGACCTATGCAGAGCTTGGCAGTTTCAGTACTGGAGATGTGAGATCAGTGATTGAGACTTACAATTACTTGAAAAAATGCCTGGGTCCCTTTTCCTCATAGAAAAGTAGAACAAACTGCTCTCATGACTCTCCATTGGGAAGTGTAAGTTACTGAGACATAATGCTTAAGAATTCTCAAGAAAATGGAAGAACCAGATCTAATAGATACTGTGCATATAGGCAGAGGTAGACATTTCTGTGAAGCAGTCACTTGTAGCTGGGCCGTGTGACTGGTCAGCAGACTGAGTCAATACAGTTGG